ATTCGTGTGCTGCAATAGAACAGGATTCTGCCGTCGTCGTCTGGTGAGACCAAGCCACGAATCTCTTTCCTACAAAATGAAGGTCTCCCCAACAAGACTAAATGCAACACTTTCACTCGAGATGCGATTAAGCTCAACAGACAAAATCCGTCCAGGTCTGCTCGACTTGACAGACGCAGCGGGTCGGGTCGGCAAAAGGGTCTGGGACACAGCCAGTCCTCGTCGGTATGACGTCGTGTCGGGTACCCTCGAGGCTCGGCGAGCACAGAAGCGCAGACCATGTTCAAGTGATGGTACCAAAAGCATCTCGAACTGGGACGGAACAGGCGTCAATTCGACATGGTTGACGTGTTCGTGGAAAAGTGGTCGGCTGAACGAAGTGGAGTCGTGAGGGCCGACGGTTCGAGAGGAGCCTAGGCAAAGTCTGATGCATTCGGCGAGCAACGTGGAGCCGATTGACTTGCGGTGAGCAGATTCTTGCTTTCGCGTCAAGCCACTCAGACCGAGGCATAACCCTTCTGCGGTTACCCGATTTCCCCATCATATTCACCGTCCCAGCTGTTTGCAGTTCGCACTTTGCCATCCTCTGTAGCATCTCTTGGCTTTCCAACTCAACCAAATATTGACATATTCATTTTCCTCATACCTACTCTGCTCCTCATTCACATCCCGACCGCCCTATCTGTGTTGTGTGATTTCCTTTATCTAGCTATCTATCCATCTCATCATCTATTTATCAATTTATCCTTCTTTATTCCTATATATATATATATATATGACTGTCTATCTATCTATCTAATTGAAGTAGAGCGATAGAATGAGAGGTATGCATAGAAAAGGAGGAATAAAATCGCATAAATAGAGGAGGTGAGGTAGGAGGAAATAAAGACGGAAAATTGTGCATCAACTGAACTACTAGTAGAAAGATGCAAAGCAAGACGGCAAAGTGGAGAAGCGAGTAAAACTGGCAAGTGGATTGGCGGCACTGAATTTGCTGAAGAAATTGGCTCAATCAACAAATAGAATACCCCCATTTGACACACTTGCTATACCCATTCATATACAAATAGTTATTTATGTATGTATTTAGGCTCGACAGAGACGGCTGGTTTGTCTGCCTTTTTTCAGTTCCCTCCCAGCATTTGCCTCTCTCACGCATCCTATCTGCCTTTCTCTCTTGATTAACAGTATCGAGGAGTTTACTTGGCGAACTCTTCAGTAGTACATACTATTTGAGTACTATTTAGAGCTGTTCGAGTCACTTTCAACTGATCCTATAAGCTCTCCCATCCTTTAGGCAATTGAGAATGCTGTTGCTGCAAGTGGCTCTACCCAATTCACCTCGGCCTAAGCACCACATCACGAATCTTCATTTTAGACGTGTTTCATCTTGAATTTCTCGATGCAAGAAAACAGTCACATCATTTGTAACCATTTTTCACACTCTGAGGAATAGCCAAAATCTGCTAAGCACTTTCGACTTGGCCGCAAGAGCCGATGCAAGTTAATCACGACGACTAAGGCCAGACGTCAACACTCCGCCCGACGACGTCATTCAATATTGTT